TGCGGAACTCCTCCCGGTGTCTGTGTCTCGGAAGCCCCCCTGGGCCTGGGTCACATGTAGGTTTCATCTCCGTGCCCCCAGAGATGGTCCCTGGTGCCCTCGGAGAATGCCGTGCCTCAACATGCCGCCACGCTTTGAGTTGTCCGGATGGGACCTGCGTGGAGCATGGCCTCGAGCCGACGCAGGGCCTGGCACGAGTCTTCCTGCTCCGGGAGGACAATGACGTCATGTCTTCTGGAGGCTGAATTGCCTGCTGTCTTTGCAGGGGAAGATATCACAGATAGATGAAAGGAAAATTGGGGAAAGGCTTTTTGAAAATCATTACATTGCCAAGTGCAGGACCCCTAATCGGTGTAGAGAACATTGAATAAAATGAGAAAAAAGCACACACAAAAGGACTTTGGCCACAGCTGAGGAGAGGGACGGGCAGAGCGGTTCCCCGACCACGCCGCCTCTGCTGCCATCCCTGTCACCTTTCAGCAACGCTGTTGTGCTGCTCGTAACTTTCATGAGAGAGAGGCAGAAAAATGGATGCAGCCCTCACGGTGCTGACGCCATGACCCACCCTAGCCACAGCCAGCCCCAGACCCTGGGCACACATGCCCAGTGCAGCAGGGCAGTAGCTGGTATGAACTGGGAACCTCCCCATGTGGCTCAGCCTCGCAGAGCCTCGCGTCTCAACCGTTGGGCCGAGGTCCGACCTGTCAGTCACTTCCATGGAATGGAAATTGTGGGCATTTAGAGAACAGAGGGTGACAGTGCCTTTACTGAGGTGCCAAGGGTTTGTCTCTCAACCTGCCCCAGGCCTGGCTTCCCCCATAAGCTGTTAACCCTGCTCAGGCATTCAGGAGGCTCAGCCCTGAGGATTTGAGCACCTTAAGGACCACTTGTTATGACATCAAAGGAGCTTTTTTTTTTCTTTTTTGGAGAGGTTTTTGCTATAGGGCACGTACGCTCGCCAGACAGAGACAGAGACAGAAAGCGAGAAATCACCCCCAGGGGGGATGGTCAAGCCGCAATCCCTTCTCCATTCTCCTCTCGGGATCTTGGACACGCACGCACACGTGCCCGGCGTGAGTTTAAACCACCAGGTCCGGGACTCGAACTGCAGTCGACTACATGGGAGTCCAGCGACATAGCCATTACGCTAACTGCTGGCTCCCCCAAAAGAGCTTTTTAAAGCAGGCTGTTGGCAGGGCCCACCCTGTGTGCGAAACAGGCCTGGGATGTGCTGGGACCATGCCTTGCCCCAGGGCGGCTCCAGCTGGGATAACTTTAATTTACAAATGTGGACATTTTGCAAATGGTCAGACCATGTGAAGCACCTGGATTACAAAGCAAGCTTAAGCAAGCTCTGTGGCCTTACGGCTAAGGTGCCCAGATCCCACGTGGCTGACAGTGGTTCGTGTCCCAGGTCCTGGGGCTTGAGATCCACACCAGGAGAATATGGGCGCCCACAGTCTTGAAAGGAGGGAGCGATGGAGGGAAAGGGACTGCCGTGTGACCATGGCCCAGGGGTGCTTTCTCCTCTCTCTCTCTCTGTCTTTCTCGGGGGCGAGTACACACACCCTGCAGCAAAATAAATAAGCAAGTAAAGTCCGTGGAGATAAAAGCCTGAAGCAAGATGAAGAGCAATATTTACTGGATTAGCCAGTAGCACACTCCCTGACCCATGAGGAGACCGGATCTCCTACTTTCATTTATTGGTTCAATTTTGTCATATTAAGTTTGTACAGAAATGGAGCGTTGTCATTGAAAATCACGTTTGTAAATTACAAAAACGATCCGAAAGCAGTGGCTGCATAGATGAGCTCACTTTCGACATACTGCTTTTCCTGTCGGCGGCGCAGCCACGACCTTGCTGCCGGTCTGAAGGCTAGCTCACAGAAAGCTGCCTTATGAGGAAGATCAGACGAGGAGTTCTGTTATTAAGTCTCGAATAAAAAGCAAAAGCCTGTGCCCGGGAGACTTGGGCGATGATTTCTAACCACTGTTTTCCACACACGAGCGAGAGAGTGGAAATGAATCATCACTGCCCTTGAATGCGTCTTGCAAGTTACCCTAAAAACTCATCGAAGGAAAGTGTGTGGAAGATCTGCTCAGCCCTCTGGTTCTGGCTTGTCCCCTCGCAGGCGGGCGTGACTCCACACCGGGTCATCTTTGTCTGTTTAAAACAACCCCCTTTTAAAAGCTGGAGTTAGGGAATTGATGATGCGGTGCTACGGTGCTCCCGACATTTCGAGACGTGGGAGGAAAGCGGGAATTTCAAAGCAGGCGGGTCACTGGGAATTAGGGAGCCGTAGCAGCCATAGACAGAAGCGTTCACAGTGGATCGCCTGGCATTTCCGAAGCCCGACGTGGCGCTGCTGCTTCTGGAAGGCTGCATGGTGGAAGTGACTGCCTGGCTGAGCATAGAGTGGGATGGAGGCAGAGGGCCTGCTCTGAGACATGGATAACCCTCTCCTGGCCTCTGCAGCAGTGCTGGGGGAGAGGTCTCCAGCCTGTCTCAGGCCTCCCTGGGTCCTTCCTGCAGGAGCCGTGTGCTCAGGGGTAGTTTTCAAGTCCCTAAGTGGAAGCACCATTGCCCAGGGAGCCCTGCTACACAAGAACACTTTTTCATCCCAAGCACTCAGCAGGTTCCAGACACAGCTGTGTTGGGGACCCCGACCTCCCAGGCACGTCTCAGTCATGGAGGTCGCGGCAGCACACGATGAATCGGAGTTCACGAAGATCTTGTTCACGATCAGAGGGTGGGAGAGAGAAGCAGCAGCGGCCGTCATCTGAACCCCGGCCTGGTCATACCTGACCTAGCCTGCCTATGCCCGACCACTTCCTCAAGCTGGCCACTCCTCTCAGAAACAGGCCAGCCTGGGCTGCTGTCTGTCACCACTGCAGCTCGAGTCACAGGCCTCTGTTGAGTGAAGGCCGCTCCTGGCGTGGGGCGAGCACTCCTTAGGGGCCAGTTGTGGTTTTTGCTACTGTTGTTGGGCTGCTGTGGCTCTCTGCTCTGAGCCGTTCTCGAGCACAGCACCCTTTGCCGGCCTTGGGAAAGGAGTGGAAGCCCGCAGCAAAGGGGAGAGCAGCTCCTGATTCTGGTTCAGGGTGAGGCCAGCCGAGATTATTCTAGAGTTTACTTTTAATTTTATGTCAGAGCACACATGCACTGGACATGCGTGTGTCTGTGCATGTGTGAGCGAGGGAGAAAGCACCCCCATCGGGGTCCGGTCATGCCACAGTCCCTTTCCTCCAGTTCTCATTCCTTCAGGATCCTCGGCACACGCGTGTACCTCATGTGTCTTTAAAGCCAACAGGGCCCAGATTTGAACCCTGGTTGGCTGTGTGGGCTCTGGCTTCCTCTGCACAGTGCTTAACTACTGTGTTACGGGGCCAGCCCATACAGTTTATTTTTAAAAACAGTTTTGATCAAATTCTGCAAATTTCCAGAGGCAATGCCACAGCCAGCGCTTGGGCGTGCAGAAGAGGGGACCCACAGCCCTTCCTGGGGGGAGCAGGAGGAGATTCGGGAACTCTGAGCATCCCAGTCCCTCTGTGGTCTGGAAGCCAGTTCGCACGTGAGTGGTGCTTGGACCTCCCCACCACAAACGTGGAGGCCGGTGTGGATGTGAGATGGCCACAGTTCTCTAACCCTCTGCTCCCAAGCCCTGCAGTGTGGCTTTTCAGACCCCCCACCAAGAGGCAGAGTCTGTGTTCTCGCTCCTTGCATCTGGCCTGGCCCAGGACTTGCCCTAGCCAGTGGAATGTGGTGGCAAGTGGTACTTGGTCCAGCCAGGCCTCCAGAGCCCTTGTGGGCTTCTGCTCCTGTGTGCCTAACACCCCCTTCAGAAACCTATTGCCTCCCTGTGAGAAGACCTGGGCTGGCTTGCCGAAGAGTAAGGATCCTGCAGAGAAGAGCCTGATTGTGGTAGATGAGGTGGTCCCGATCCAGCATACAGTCGGGCGGCCCACACACTTGTGAGATGGGTAGCTCACTATAGATACATGAGTGCACCTCAGTAACTGAGACTGGAAGGACTGCCGCCCTCCCCTCAACCTTCAGAGCAGCAGTAAAGGTTTATTGTCTTAAGCCACCATGTTTTGCGGTTATTTGTTATGCAGCAAAAGCTAACTGTTGCAGACGTCATCAGTTAGGTTAGTAGGTACTAAACTGGTTGCAGTGGTAAAAAGCCGTCTAAACACAATTTAGCTCCACGAGTCCCATGAAGCTTGGGAGGTCACTGACTTTGAAAGCACAAGGTATTTTTGTTGCTATGGATACCCCCATTGAGACATTAGAGCGCAAAGAGAGAAACCTAGTGTTGCCTTGACAACAGGTTTGCAAATCTGAGTCTGGTAAGGCAAAAGACTATTAAAAAATAGGAAGAATCAGGAGGAGCAGGGGGGTGGAATTAGCCTAAAACAGCATCTCCCCCAAACAACAACTTGCTTCTGTGTAGTTGACAGTTTATTAGAAGCAAGCATTGCCTGAATTGGGAGCTATAAAGTGAGCAACAGGAAGCGCTTCTCTTTTCATGGCCCATCCCCACAGCAGGAGCAAAATCTCACAGCCAGAGAGCAGCATAAAACAGTCACTAAATGCTTCTTTGAGGAGTTTGTAACTTGTTCTCGACCAAGTTTCATGCCAAGGATTAGAACTTGCCCAAGTTGGAAGGGGTCTCAACAGGCTCCAGCCCCTTGCTCCCACTCCCCTTTTGCAGGGGTGGGGGAACCCAAGCCCGGAGAGGAGAAAGGGCTGCCCAAGGTTGGACGTGGTGCTAGGATGTGAGTCTGGTCTGGTGGGGTAGCA